TTAATGATTCGACACAAATACCATGAATGACCAACACCCTATCATTAATTAGATATGGACTGCAGAGATCATTTCCTCACACTAAAATAGTTCATGAAGGCTTATGGTCTGTGCAGTACACTCTGATTTCCAAACATCATGCACAAGGGCCCTCCCATGGCTCTTTCGGTCAGATGCAATACGAATAGGTATTCTTTCAATCTTGAGGATCTGTTGGCGAAAGACTTGTCAGTATGCACATATGAGCAAGGAAAAAGAGTACAGTACTCAAGCCGGATGAAGAAACCGAGAGTATTATTGCTATGTTTGCAGATGATACAAAAATAGGTTGGGGAACAGGTAGTATTGAGGACGTGGGGAGGCTGCAGAGAGACTTTTTATTTTTTTTGTTTTCAGCACAGTACAGGCCCTTTGGCCCACAATGTTGTGCCGACCTATTATCCTACTAAGATCAAACTACCCTGCATACCCTACATTTTACTATCCTCCATGTGCCTATCCAAGAATTGCTTAAAAGTCTCTGAAGTATCTGACTCCACTACCACTGCTGGCAGTACATTCCACATGCCCACCACTCCCTGTGCAAAAACCCTACTTCTCCTGTATACCTTCCTCCAATCACCCTAAAATTATGCCCCCTCGTAATAGTCATTTCCACCCTGGCAAAAAGTCTCTGACTATCCACTCTGTCTATGCCTCTCATCATCTTGTACACCTCTATCAAGTCACCCCTTATCCTACTTCGCTCCAATGAAAAAAGCCCTAGCTCCCTCAACCTTTCCTCATAAGACCTGCCCTCCAGTCCAGACAGCATCCTGGTAAATGTCCTCTGCACCCTCTCTAAAGCTTCCACATCTTTCCTGTAATGAGGTGACCAGAACTGAAGACAATATTCCAAGTGTGGTCTAACCAGAGTTTTATAGAGCTGCAGCATAACCTCGTGGCTCTTAAACTCAATTCCCCTGCCAATGAAAGCCAACACACCATACGCCTTCTTTACAACCCTATCAACTTGAGTAGCAACTTTCAGGGATCTATGAACGTGGACCCCAAGATCCCCCTGTTCCTCCACACTGCCAAAAATTCTGCCATTAACCCTATCTTCTGCATTCAAATTCGACCTTCCAAAATGAATCACTTCACATGTTCCTGGGTTGAATTCCATCTGCCACTTCTTTACCCAACTCTGCATCCTGTCCACATCCCGTTGCAACCTACGACAGCCCTTGATGCTGTCCACAACTCCACCAACTTTTGTGCCATCGGCAAACTTACTAACCCACACTTCCACTTCCTCATCCAAGTCATTTATAAAGATCCCAAAGAGCAGAGGTCCCAGAACAGATCCCTGTGGAACACCACTGGTCACCGAGCTCCAGGATGAATACTTTCCATCTACTACCACCCTCTGTCTTCTATTGGACAGCCAAATTTCCCTGAATCCCATGCCTCCTTACTTTCTGAATGAGCCTACCATGTGGAACCTTATCAAATGCCTTGCTAAAATCCATTTACACCACATCCACTGCTCTGTCTTCATCAATGTGTTTTGTCACATCCTCAAAGAATTCAATAAGGCTTGTGATACATGACCTGCCCCTCACAAAGCCATGCTGACTATTTCTAATCAAACTGTGCTTTTCCAAATAATCATAAATACTTTCCCTCAGAATCCTCTCCAATAATTTGCCACCATAAAAGTAAGACTGATCAGTCTATAATTCCCAGGATTATGCCTATTCCCTTTCTTGAACAAGGGAATGACATTTGCCACCCTCCACAAGTTAGGACAAGTTAGGAGAGTGAGCAGAGAAGCAGCAGGTGGAAAACTCTGTGGGAATGTCTGACGTTATGCACTTTGTTAGGAAGGATAGAGGTGTAAACTATTTTCTAAATGGGGAAAGGCTTCTGAAATCTGAAGCACAAAGTGACTTGGGAGTCCTGGTTCAAGATTCCCTTAAGGTTAACATGCAGGTTCAGTTGACAGTTTAGGAAGGCAGACACTTTGTTAGTATACATTTCAAAATGCCCAAAATACAAGAGCAGAGATATACTACTGAGGATATGTAAGGTTCTGGTCAGAGCGCATTTGGTATATTGTGAGCCGTTTTGGAGGCCGTATCTAAGGCCTTTGGAGGGGGTCCAGAAGAGATTCACAAGAATGATCCTGGGGATGAAGGGCTTGTCACGTGACGATCAGTTGAGGACTGGAGTTGGAGTTTAGAAGGATGAGGGAGGATCTCATTGAAACTTACAGAATACTGAGAGGCCTGGATAGAGTGGATGTGGAGAAGATGTTTCTACAAGTTGGAGAGACTCGGACTCAAAGTCACAACATCAGAAGGAAGGGACGATCTTTTAGAACTAAGATGAGGAGGAATTTCTTCAGCCAGAGGTGGTGGATCTATGGAATTCATTGTCACAGAATGCCACATAGACTAAGTCATTGAGTGTATTTAAGAAATAGATAGGTTCTTGATTAGTAAGGGGATTAAAGGTTACAGGGAGAATGACTCAATTGGCCAAATAGCCTAATTTTGCTCCAATATCTTATGTTCACTTCTAGCCTACTCTGTTGCTCAACATGATAATGAATGATCTGATTTTAACCTTAACTCTACATTCCTGAATATCCCCAATATTTCAAGATGACGGCACCAGCAGGGTAGGCAGCGTTCAAGCTGATAAACCTGTCTATTCCTGACCAGCCGCTTCTTTCTTTTTTCTCTTTTCTTCATCTTCTTCCTTCGGCGTTGGCAGAGAAGACAATATCTTGGGGCAACCAGACTGGGACTCTTGGGATTTGTGAGGCAGTGACAGCAGCGTGGTATGCCCGGTGCAGGGACTCCTGGCATCAGAGGTGGCAGCGGAGCCAGGGAGTTCTGGTTGTAGTTGCAGGAGTTCCAGAGTGGGGATTCCCTGGTTATCACTGAGGTGATGGCAGCAGCGGAGCTAGGGGCTCCTGGTTGTGGGGCTACTGTGGTTCAGCATGGGACCCAGCAGCAAAGAGATGATGCCTGAAGAGTGGTGACTCCTATCTTGGTGGGTCCGGTGCAGGCAGTGGAGGGAGGATGATGGTGCAGGTTTTATTAGTGAGCCACAGTAGAGGCAGCAGAATGAAGATAGACTGTCTTCGAGTACTTTTTTTTTGTTCTTTTTATTTTTAAACTATTCAAAATGGTGCCAGATTGTGGTGACATTTGAAGCTTTTCACCGTATTATTCATTGAAAAATGTGAGTAACAGTAAATCATTCAATTCAGTTCAATACTCTTTCATCTTCTTGGTAATCAAGAATCCATCTCTACCTTAAAAATACTTAAAGATTCTGCATCCCCTTGAGAGATTTCCAAAGACTCTTAACCCTCAAGACAATTTTTTCCCTCATCTGCCTTAAATGTGTAACCCTTTGTTTTTAAACTATGATCCCTCGTGCTAATAGCATTGATGTTATTTTGTCGCATAAATTCCAAACCAAACACTTACCTTTAAGTCAATTAGATGATGTCATGACATGACATTCCCATATAAAGGTACCCACCTTGCCTTCAATCCTTCTCTGAGTAATGGAATTAGTGTAGTCAGTCAGCTGTATTTATGTGTAACGTACAGAAACACTGATAAGCATAGAACGCAGACTGTGCACATAAGAGACTTTGTGATATTGTAGCTTTGTAATTAATGTTGTAAATAAACCTCAAGACATTTGTCTCACAGGAGCCCAACTCTTTGTGGTATATGTTATGTAGACTAAAATATAGTAATCCACAAATAATTTTAATTGATACTATAGCAGAGGAATCCCTCTGTGATAGGCAAGAGACTTCAGTCTCTAGTATAAGCTGCAAAATCCTGAACACTTCAACTTTTCTAATAGGTCTGAATATATCTCATCAGGACTGCTATCAATTTGCTACCTTTATCTTCTCAAAGCAGAGAAATTGAGAGAGGTCTACGAATTCCTCCTTTTCAGTAATGGGCTTGTTATATTATTGCCAACATTTGTAATTTCATGAACTACACACAGATTTTGAATCAATGTGCGTATCACCTGGATACAGGAGAAAGAAAATTAGTGTCACTTTTAGGGAATTCAGGATTGTACTTAAAAAGAGGCAAGCTTTGATTTCCAGTTGAAACATATCTTGTCTTCAATCTTCCTCAGTACTCAACATGGAAATTGCCAAAGTTGGTCTGAATTTGACTCCCAGGAACATGTTACGTTGCCTTAAATTGTGCTTCAAAAAGTATGGTTTAGTAACACAGTCCAATATAGATGCTGGGCCTTCTGCAGGAACTACTTCTCTACTACAGTGAGCAACAACAGCTGGAGAAAAACAACTTAAGATTATTTAGATGTAGTGCAAAGAGATACTTTTAAAAAAATGCACATGACTTTGCATTGAAAGGTGAAATGGTTGATTTGATCAGCACGTTTATACATCACATATTGCATATGAGATAAATAATGGCATTTCCTTAGAGAAGGCCGAGAGGAGATTTGATAGAGGTGCTTAAAATTATTAGGTCCAGATGGGCGAGAACCAAGGGATATATTTTTAAGGTGACTGGCAACAGAACCAAAGATGGCCTGACAATTTTTTAAATGCAAGAAGTGCTTGAGGTCTGGGATGCACTGACTGGCTAGGGTGGTGGAAACAAATTCAAAGTTCAAAGGGAATTGGATGTTCTCCTGAAGATAAAGAAACCTGCTGGGTTACATGGAAAGGATTGAGGTGTGGGAATTTCTCTTCTAGAAAGCCGATGTGAACTCGACAGGTCAAAGTCCTCTGTGCTGTAATCATTCTTAGGTTTGTGTTTTAGTTCCATATTAAACCTGGTCAAATTAGAGTACATAAGTTACGGCACTACATTTTCAATTTTCATGGGTCAGAGCAATAATAACGAGAATTTTATCAGTGCGTTTTCCATTATTAATCCATATCCTTTTATTTGATAAAACCTTCATAAGGAACAAATAACTTTTCATTAGCTAAGGGGTTTTCAGGGGTTTAAAGGCACACATTTTATTTCACTCCACTACAAAATTAATTTTTAACTATGTTACAGTGGACAAAATTTATACAAATGTACAATAGAGTTAACACTACATTGAACACATGAAGTTCTGTAAAGCATTTCATGTAACAGATCAAGCTAATGCGTAATCCAAACTTGTGTTACTGCAAACTAGCAATGATCAGTAGCTCAGCTGAGAATGTTGGCTGCAAAGTCAGTGACTTTGTTCAGTTGGAGCGGGAATTGTGTTACTCTGTTTAATTACCAAGTATTGTTTAAAGTTCCGTTTATCTTCCAATCACCTTGAAAGTACTGGAAACCAACCATCATCTGAATACACGTCTTGAGGTAAAAAAATCACGCTATCATTAATTCATCTTTAGAGACATGCCAATCATTGTTTTAACACAAATCACTCAATGTTTGTACTGTACCAATTTGGAAATAAATATAGCACACCTGTTCAGTTATGAGCAAGAACACGCGACTATTTCACACATGTTGTAGAAATTACTTATGGTTACATACTTTTTTTTGGCGGTTGAGAAGGGATGTAGACCTCAATTTTCAGACATAAAATTGTTATTTTAACCTGGAAACTGCTACTTCAGGAGATTAAACAAAAATCTTTAAAATGTGCTATTTGCACCAAACGCTGTAAAACCCTAATTTGAAGCCATAGAAATACTCTCTTTTCCCATCATTGACCCCAAATAATTCTTCAAAATGTACATCTTGCTCTAGTTTAAAAATGGATAACTATTAAGAGTTTAATAAAGGACAGATTATTTTTAAGTTTGTTTATTCCCCCTTCCAAAGGCGCAAATACTCCGCCCAACTTGTCATTTTTCATGTAAAAGTCTAAATGAGTATTTCAAACAAGCTATTAAAGCTTAAATTTAAACAGTTGCTCCAATTTTGTACAATTTTAAAAGTACAGTGGAAACAAAAAGGCAATTCATTAGAGCAGACAGAGGCAGTGGAATAATACCAATAGATTTTGTTTTAAAAATCTTCGGGAATCATCATAGTTAACATATTGCACAGCTTGTTTTAAACTGCAATTTGACACCAGTGAGGAAGTGAAGAAACAATATCTTCAAGTAAGTTTACAGAAAAATGACCACACCACATATGAATGGCATGGATGTCCAGAATGAGTGTTCTCTTAACCATAAGAAATCTTTTCTGAAAAGGATCGGTAAAGTTGTTTAAGTTCCTTCATGTTGATAATATATTTATAAAATGTGTGAAGTAAATAAGCCTCACTACCATACAAGGCATTGGTAGGGTCATACCAAAAATAACGTGCAGTTTTGGTCTCCTTATTAGCCACATTTGTTTCTTTTATTGCCCTCCATCCCAGGTGTGCAATGATTGGTCACAACATTGGTTCCTATGGCGAGATGATTTTCCTCACAGGAAAATAGCAAGTTGTCCAGGCTTCTATTTCATTTTAAAGTTTAGAAGGGGAAAAGAGGTGAACTAAATAAAACAGAATTTTTCAAAGGCTTGGCAGAGTGGATGTTGAGAAAGTATTTTCCACAGCTAGGGAGTCTTGAATATGGAGATCACAGGATCAGAATAAAGGATCAGCTAATTAAGAGCAAGATAAAGAGACATTTCTTTACTCAAAGAGTTGTGAAGATTATGAATTCTCAATCTAGATTGCTTAGTTTTTCAGAATATTTAAGACAAGTCACGAGATTTTTGAGTACTCAGGGAATTAATAGGAATTGGAATGGTGCAAGAAAATGGAGTTGAGGTAGGGTTCCAGCCATAATATTGCTGAGCTACAGAGCAGGCTCAAAAGGTCAAATAGTTTTCTCTGGCCTTTATGAAGTAAAGGAGATTTTAAAGAATAGGGAATAAAAAGTTGCAAATTACCAGATTTCAAGTCATCTAATGACTGAAATGCACCTTCTGTCTTTGACTAGAGAGGTTTACTTGTGCAAATGGGTCATAATTACTGGCCAGATTTTCTTTTCAATTCTTACACAGATGTTGTTCCAAGGCAGTGATGTACATAGAGATTTGGTCAATTAACCTAAAGGTGAATTGCACAAAGTGCGTCACTGTCACAAAGAATACATACAATGCACACACAAAACCCAAAGTAAGACAGCCTTGTTGAAAGCACTTGTTTTCCAACCAGGGACAGAAAGTATCTTTCAAGCTTTATCTATGTTTAAATGGAATAGTTAGATCTCAACACGGCTTTAAAAAAAAAATGTTGATTTTTAGAGTTCTTATTGTTGGCTTGGAATGTTTCAGGGTTAAAATGGTCCTTTGCAACATTTCTACTCAGTTCAGCTATAAAATCAATTGAATTGCTCTGGATACAAACAGCTTACAATAATGCATTTCTGTTTGAGACGATGTCTAATCTTCATTGGCAAAACTGGGTATGACTCAAGGCGATCCAATAGAATAAGCTATTGGCAAGTATTTGATAATAAATAGTAGGGGCCTGGTTAGGTGTGCAAATACTTAAGATAACAATTTATTTTTCAAATAGATCAACAAGATTTTTGCTTTTAAGTAGTAAAGTCCTTGGCACCGCTGCTATGTGATGTCCTAACATTCTCATCCCATTCAAAATACCACTGTTAGCATGAAAAAGGATCAAGCGTAACTTCAATGTACATTTTCTTGACATACACCAGGTGTTGGTTGGGAATGTGAAGGAAATTTGTGGTAACTATCAGAACAGAATTTTTTTTTTTTTTTTTAACATGTTCACTTCGAAAGTAAAAATAGACCCAGATTTTCATTTAGAAGAATATCACAACAATTCCAAATTTAGCTTTCAGTCTCATTGTAATCCTTATTTCTCAACCATCCCATGTCTAATACACAAATTATCTGCAGTAAGGATGCGAGTCATCAGTTATTGCTTTTATAGCAAAAGATGTGACTGAGAATATATCATGCCTTCTATCAACAAGGTATATTCAAGTTCTGCAAATCAAGGGGCAAAATTTCAGCAATTAAAGCTCCCAAACAGTGCTCAGTACTTCAGTGTATTTGAGTATGGTTAATGAAGGGCAACGTTTTCATCCAGCGTGCATTGAGTAGGGTTGTGCTATAATGCAAGCGAGCAACAATCTATTTCACTATTTAATGAAGCCATTTACTTATACCAATGTAAATGCAATGGAACTACTTTCATTTACCAAGTTGCCTTACTTCATCTGCTTCACAGAAATATGAAGAATTCTTGTATTTTTATCAGCACGTGGCTAGGAGTAGAGTTTGCCTGCATTTATGATATCTTGCAAGCAATAGAAGATGGTTATACATGTAACTCATCATAACTCCATAGCCAATTACAGTTAGCCTCTTACTAGAAGAAAACAGGTATTTCTTGATGATCTGATTGAAGTAATGATGTAACACTTTAAATCATAGTGACAAAGTTCTGATCACCCAGACCATGCTACTAGTTCCACTTCAAGCATCTACTATTGTAATGCAAACTGTTAAAGTGCTCCATTTACATTATTTGTACATTAGAACCCAAAGGTACATCAAAACTGTGACAGGTATTGCCATTATTAGCAAAACCTAAACTATAACTTACAGGAAAATTCACTCCCTTGTGTCATTTTTCAATACGATACAGCAAAGGATCCTGGGTATCTAATTACTTTCTTTATAAAGGTTTTCATATCTGTAGATGAAAAACATCCTACATTCAGGGGGCCTAGTTCATCAGCTTTAATCGGTAAAGATGAACACAAGTTGTCTCATCTTAGCATCAAGCACAAATGTTGTCTAGCATCATGGGAAATGGCGAGGATGTTGGACTGTTCTATTACCTTGGTGCCACAAAGATATCTATTCCTGCAGAGAACACTGTAGCTTAGCTGAACACATTCAGATATTAATGGGAAGAGTAACCATCAGTTAAACATAAAAGGGAGCAAAATTCCTCCAATCAATAATTTTACCATCCTGCTTTTTATTCACATTGACTATTTTGCTAAAATCACTTTCAAGAATTTAAGCCCAAAGAAGGCAAGCACAAAAGAAAATGGTACAAATCCTGCTTTCAGAACTGCAGGCTATTTTTAAACATTGCTTTTTATTTGATGTACATATTTGTTATCTCCAAACTATGCAAGATAATACGCTCTCTGGTGGAATGCAACTAATTTGACACATGGGAATGCAGAGAAATGCTTTTTTTAAAATCCATGTACACATTATTTGTCAGCCTGTTGTCATACAAGATCCCTCCTCCCTTTCATTTCTTCACCTTATTTGCTGAACTGCATTACTGGTTGCTGTACTGACTGTGAAACAGCCTTTCCTCCCTCATGATCTTGCAGAGAAGTTAATACTTGAGATCATCTTCTGGATCTTATCCTCATTTTTCAGTATATTTGCCTTGACAGCACAATTCTTATCCTGCTGATCCTTGATCAATTGCTCCAGTTCAGCAAGTTCAGTCTTTAACGGCTCCACAGCTGTGTCTGTGATGCTGAAAGAACAATAAATAAATTAACAGACTCAAATGTGTAATGTGGTCATAATCTCCAAGAAAATTAAAAAGCTAAACAGATTTCCACAAAGAAGCTGGTGAAAGTATAATAGCAGTTTTATTATTATAGCTCAGAAGCAATTGCTTCAAGGGTTATGTGGGAATGCTGTCCATCATTCTGTACAGAGCTGGTGAGTGATTTTCTCACTTGTGTTAGGAATATGAAGGATAAGGATACTAAGACACTGCCTATATACACTGTCTAGAAACTTAGTAAAACAGAGGGGACATTATTGTATTTTAGATCTGAAAACGCCCAATGATTGTGAAAACGTGGAATGCACACCTCCAGTGTTACAAATGCAAAATCAATTAAGATCTTTATTTGGAAAGCAATGACATGAATCGATGTGCAGAAATGGAAAGGAATTGGGATCAAAAAGATGAAAAGCCACCTTTCATATAAAAATAAATGTTTAACAGCTGTTCCCTATGGACCACAGATATGTCTGAGCAGTAAGTCAGCCAAAGGCCACAGGTGTACAATTCAGCGGCAGGAATGTTTAAACTCTAGAACTCTAGTTACACTACAATGAAAGCACCACTAACCACCACATCCAGTTTATAACACAAAGATTTAATTGCAGATATATAATTAAGCTTGAGGTAGTCTAGAGATGTGTCATTTGACTGATCTCTAGTAACACAGGACTGAGTTATGATATGGTTTTCACACAGAAAATAACTGAAAGGTGGCCTTATAGAAGTATATAAAACACAAAAAAAACTGATCTCAAGTTATATCTGGAACAGGACTTCAAACACAGTCATGACAGAAAGACATGCTTTAAATAATAAAACGCATATTTAGGACTATTATCGAGCAGATTTTAGTACATGGAAAATCAACCTGGAGAATTAATGTGCTTCCATGAAGAGCAATGGGGTGCACAGCTTGAAACTATTGAAGGAATAGGTTAATACAATGATGGGAGGACCGCAGAGTTTTATGATAACTCAATGTAGACTAAATGGTCTTTCTCATCTATATAAAGCATGTGATCCAGGAGATAAGATTAAAAATCTTTAAAATCAAAATCTATCCTGCATGAAGATTAGAAGAATGAACATGAGGTCAGACCCCATTGCCAATTTAACTGAAAAGAAAATGTTTGTTAATATGGAATATTAATAAAAACAGAAACAAGAGGAAACCTTTTGGCCGCTCAAGCCTGTTCCACCAATCAACAGGATCATGGCTGATCTGATGTGGCTTTAACTCCGCTTTCCTGCCTGCTCCCCATAAACTTTTACTCCCTTGACAATCAAAAATCTGTCAAAGTCAGCCTTGAGCATATACAATGACTTTGTTAGCAAAAAACAACCCTCTGAGAATAAATTCTTCTTCATCTCCTAATTAAAAAGAACCTCATCAGATCTGGGCAGATTGGGTGGGGGAAGAAGGTTGAAGGCAGTGATGAAAAGGAAGAGAGTGTTCCTGTGATCACTCATCTAAGCAACAGGTACATGAGCAGCACAGCTACTGTTGCATTACCAACAATGAGATTAGGGCATTTTTAAAAATTTTATTCCAGCTGAGCATGCGCAACATGAGTGCAACCATTTCTCTTGGCTAGTTTCAGAGTGTTATTCACATCTGCTAATAATTGACATTTTATTGAAATAGAAAACAAACCTTTGTACGCCCCATTCAAATTAAGATATTGACAAAACTGTATGGAGGCTAATTGAGTACAACGTTTATTGGTTTTAAAATAGCCTCTTTCGAGAATAATAGATGCATAGTGCCATCTGGAGCCCTTCTGCTTGCTTTCTAATTCCACACCAACCTCTAATTTTGAAATTGTAGCGAGCCTTTTTATTCTAAAATGCAAAACCATTATGCAACTATATCCAGAATATTCAACTCAAAAGAAGCACAAACTCCACACAATGTATGAATTTGTCTTCCCAGGAAGTAGTTACCAGTAATCTTCCCTTTAATGGAAACTTACGGCCTGCACAGTTGTGTGATTTTCTTCCCCATTCTAACAGTTTTGAAATCAAAATGAGGATCAAAACAACAGAGTACAACAGCTTTTTTACAAAACAATGTCAATATAACAGCTTTAAAGCATGTATGGTCATAAGAAAAACAAAGCAGGATGGGAACACAAGAAATAAAAGGATTTAAACAAAAACTCAAAATGTTAACATTGCTTTCTTCTCAGATACTGCCAGACCTGCTGAGTTCGTCAGCAATTTCTGTTTTTATTTCAGATCACCAGCACGCACAGCTCTTTACTTTGAGGTCATTTGAGCTGCTTCTCCATTCAGTACGATCATAACTTTTTTCCTCTTGCAATATCTCTTACTTCCCTTAGTATCAATCTTTGTCTTGGCATATTCTCAACTAACAAACATCCTCAGCCTTCTGCAGCAGAAAATACCAAAGATCTGCAACCATTGGACAAAGATAGGGCGTCATGTGGTAAAGAACTCATGTTCTCCCAAGAAAAAGGGGTCCAACAAACAAAGTAGCCAATGTTCTTTCCCACTTATTCATTATTAGATTGATGAAAGTGCATCAAAACTACACAGAGCTGATGTTGATGTCAGATGACCGATATCTTAAACTCAGCTTGGATGATAGCGGTGTCATAGCATGTATTATCCAGGATTGTAAAGTCAAGATCATCATAATGCTGAGGAAACCATGCAGATTCATCCAGACCACTGCAAAGGATCCAAAGTCATATCAATATAGCTTTAAATGACAAATGGAATGCATATGCCCCATAAAATGTGTCAAGAAGCTAAATTTAAATTGCTGCTAAAGAAGTCCAGCTCATTAAATTCTCTTACATCCTCCCCTTAATACTAATCAATAGGCAAGATGAGGAATCAGCAGAAATAATGTCAGAAATGAGACAAGGCATGTGACATGTTGCTTGCCTCACCCAATAAACAAACAGTATATTCCATGGCAGTGCATGAAAAAAAGGACGAAAGTTCTGTGTAACAGAATTCTGCCTAATTTCTCAACTGGATCTATCTAGTTAGGAAATCAAGGTTTCATTAACATGACTCATACCAATGGAAAAGGAGATCTGCATATGAGGATGTAATTAAGACTTATTGTTGACACAGAAGGGAGCCTTATCTTGGTAAGATAATGGTAAAGCTAATATTTCATCGGGAGATTTTTTTTTGAAAAACAAACAACATGTGCTTTAAAACCAGTCATATTAGTGAGTAAAAGTAATTTTACAAAAATAAAAAAAATCAAAAACAAAGCTTGTTTCTTAATAGTTTGCATAAAGGTCTTCAAACTATGTTAACAAAATAACCAAGTTCAAAATTTCTGATCCCCTGGTCAATATGTATCCCTTAACCACCACCTCAAGAAGTTTAACTGCTTATTTTCCCCATTGCTGTTTGTTGATCTCTTGCTGCTGCATGTCTCCACATTAAAGTGTCTACACTATTCAACGAGCTATCTATTATTGACACATTTGTTCAAATACTGTACTGAAGAATGATAGAACTGCTGGAAAATTCAAAATAGTAATTTTTAAATGCAAAATTAAACAAAAAGGATGTATTGTAAAATATATCTTGTTCTCTTCCTCTCCCTTTATTAGGTCAAATATCAGTTGCAATGAGATAGAGAAAAAAACCCCAATATTTATTCTCTCTAATTTTAATTACCCAATCAAGAATGGGTAGAAATCAAAAAGCAAAGTCCTGTGGGTGCTGGAAATCTGCAATAAAATGGAAAATGCTGGAAATACTCAGATCAACCAGCAGAGACACATTTAATGTTTCAAGTCAATGACTCTTCTTCAGAACTGGGAATATTTAGAAATGTTCTAAGTTTTGAACAAGTGGTGACAAGGACAAAAGGAAGGTTTATAATAAGATGGAAAAACAGGAGAGATCGAATGACATTCAATTTCTGAAGAAGGGTCTAGGCCCGAAACGTCAGCTTTCCTGTTCCTCTGATGCCGCTTGGCCTGCTGTGTTCATCCAGCTCTGCACCTCGTTATCTGAGATCGAATGACATGATGGGTAGTCTTCCAAATCTAAACAAAATGGCTATGAGTAAGAAACAAAGAAACAAAATATGTGCCACTGATTGAAATCAAAAATCAGAGAAAAAAATGAAAATAAACGGGGCAGAGACCATGATCTGAAATTGTTGAACTCAAGCTGAGTCAACAAGACTAAAAAATGCTTAACTGAAAGATGAAGTGTTCTCCCTCAGGTAGAAAGCAGATGGGCTCTAGCGGACTGATGTTGAGATTTAGTTACCTTGGATTCAGGGTTTCAAATTCATCCATTTGCTCTAACTGTGGTGCTGTGTCAATATACTGATGATATGCAATGTAAAATGGAAGGCATAGGCGTCAATGGATTAAGAGAGTCAAAGATTCAGACATTTGATGAAACCAGATTACAAAACCACAACAGTTGATAAAAGCAAAGCTGAAAATAGAAGCTTCAATAATCAACAGATCGTGTAGCAGCACATCACTGCACTGAATTACAATTCAAGATCTTGTTTCCTTACAAATTACTTGTTTATATCCGATCTGAAACATAAACAGAAATTGCTGACAAAACTCAGCAGGTCTGGCAGCATCTGAGAAATTAGAGAGAATAATTATTGGAGTTTTTTTCTCCATTTCATTGCAACTGATATAATGACCTAGCAAAGGGAGAGTAAGAGATCAAAATATATTTTTTAACAATACATTTTTGTTTAATTTTGCATTTAAAAGTTACTATTTTGAATTTTCCAGCAGTTCTATCATTCTTCAGTACAGTCTTTGAACAAATGTATCAATAATAAATAGTTCTTCGAATAGTGTAGACACTTTAATGTGGAAACATGTAGCAGCAACGAATCAACAAACAGTAATGGGGAAAATAAGCAGTTAAACTTCTTGAGGTGGTGGTTAAGGGATACATATTGACCAGGGAATCAGAAATGGCGAAAAATAATTCCAAGTTTGAGACTGCAGCAGGCAAGCACAGAAACATAAGTAAAAATAGAGTAGAAAGAACGATTAGATCAGTGTCTTTCCAAGCTTTACAAGAAACTGGAAACTTATTCTTGGTGGGCTAGAGAGTAGAACTTCCCAGACTTGATGAGAATGTTAATAAATAGGATCCTAAATAGAGCAATATCGGAACTATTTCATAGAACAATAGTGAGTTCTCAAAACCAAGTCCAGATTCAAGAATTTGCAAATATTTTCCGATTTTAACCATTAGAATCTCTGTTCGGACAGGAAATTTTGTTTATTTAGTTCTTAGAGAGGTCAAAGTTAAAATCATAACAGCCTAGCATCAGTTCTGACGTGTTATGTCACAAAAGAATAAAGCTTTGCTCTGCTATGTGCTTCAGTCCCTGCCTTACAACTAACAAATGCTGCATTTTAATAAAAGAGTTCACCGTGGTTAAAAAATTCCATTCAGGAAAATTCAGAAGGATAAACAACTCCACATCAGTAATTACCAGCTTTTTCTGCAAACATTTTCACAGATACACTGCAACTCCTAACCTTTGTTCTCTTAGAAGAGACTCTGCATGCTTCTTGTTTTCTTTGCGCCACATTGACAATTCATTCTGCATGGAGTCCATGTCTTCCTGTATGTAGTCCATTATTTTTCCCAGAGGCAAGGCACTACGGCACAGGGTCTGAATGGATGTACGTAGTTTCTCTATTTCCTTGGCCACAAGTTCCCTTTCCTTCTTTTTTGCTGTTTCAGAGATGATGGTTTTCTCCTGGAAAACAATTTTGCAGCAACATTATGATACTTGCCTTCAACATCATTCCCAACCATCTGAAATAGTAACAATTTTAAAATTATGATACGCAAAGAATCAAAAATACAGGTACAGGTAAATTTTAATCGCTATTTTTAAAAAAAAATTACAACTAACAGTTTGCTTAATATTAGCCCTTAAGTTTCAATAGTATAATCAGGTGTCGCTGGTTTAATATATCTATTCTATCAGTGTATGTACAACATGATACAAAACGGGATAAGACAACTTATAAGTTGATTTTACAATACTTAATTGCTGTGGAAGTTTTATAATTATTAATCTTAATGTCACTCAGGATTAGCTGAGGAAGGGACAAAGGGCACTACAAAGAGGGTGCATGAGGAACTGAAGGAAGGGGGCAAAGGGAAAGGGGGAAGAGGAAGGGGACTGCAAGTGGGGGAGGGGACTGTAAAAGGAATGGGGAAAAGAGGACTGTAAGAGAAAGGGGGCAAGATGCTCCAGGGGTAGGGGAGGAGGATGAACTAGTAATTGATGGGTGAGGAAGAAGGACTGCAAAGGAATTGGGGAAGAGGAGGGACTGCAAAAGAAGGAGGCAAAGAAAGACTGTAAAGGGGTGGTGGGAAGAGGGACTGCAAAGAGGTGGGATGTGGGGGGTGCACTGTAAAAGGAACAGTGTATTTTATGAGCACGACTACTGTAAAAAAAAAATAAAGGAGTCAGCCATTTGGCCCCTCAAGCCCTTCTCCACCATTCAGTAGGATTATGGCTGACCTACTCCAGACCACAACTCCTCTTCTTTGCCAGCTAATCAAAGCTTTCAACTCTCCAGTATTGCAAAAATTTATCTATTTCCTTTTTAAATACTTTCAGTCGTTTAACTTCCACAACTCTCAAGGGTAGTGAATTCCAGACACTCACTACCTACTGGGGAGAAGAAATTCTTTCACAACACCCTTTCAAGTGAGTGTTCCTTTATGACTGTGTCTCCTAGTTCAAGGATACCTCACTAATGGAAACAACTTGTCAACCTCTACACTCTCAAGTTTCCTTAGAATCTTGTATGTTTCAATGAAATCAGCCTTTTTTTGTTCTGAACTCGAATGAATAAAGGCCTAGCCTGTTTAGCTGTTCTTAATAAGTCAATCCCTTCATCCCAGGAATCATCCTAGTGAATCCCTCTTGAACTTCCCCCGATGCCAGTATAACCTTTCTTACATACGAAGACCACAAATGTACACAGTACTCCAGGGAAGGCCTTACCAATGCCCTGTATAGTTGTAACAAAACTCAAAAACTTCAACCATTCAACAATAAATGCCACAACTCCATTTCCCTTCTTAATTAGTTGCTTTTACCTGTATGCTAACTTGGTGTTTCATGCACAAGAATACCCATGTTCCTTTGCACTGAACTTTTTTCTTGTTTGGAGTTTCACTCTATTTAAATAATGATCTACCTTTTGATTCTTCCCATCAAAATGCATGAGCTCACACTTTCCTACAATGAACTCCACCTGCCAATTCTATCTATATACCCTTGCAGATTTCTTATGTCCTCATCGCAACATGCCTTCCCAATTATATTAGCAGCAAATTTTATTTCATTATATTCTGCTCCCTCTTTTCCAAGTCATTAATATAAAAAAGCAAATAATTGAAATGCTAGGTCTGATCATTGTGGTACTACACTAGTTACATCTTTCCAACCTGAAAAAGACCAATTAACCCTGATTCTCTGTCTTCTGTGTTTATTAGTCATCAATCCATGCTTATATATTACCATCAATACAATGAACTCTTATCTGGTGCAATAACCTTTTATGTGGCATCTTATCAAATGCTTTCTAGAAATCTAAATACATACATCTACCGGATTCCCTTTATCAACTCTGTACATGACATTAACTCTAGCAAATTTGTCAAACATGATTTCCCTTTCACAAGAACATGCTGACCTTGTGTAATTGTGTTAAGCTTTTCTAAATGTTCTGCTATGTTTCCTTAATAATGGACTGTAGCATTTTCCCAATAACAGACAACCACTGTTAACTGGATAATTTAATACTAATAGTTTTATTTCAAAAAGATTTACATTTATGTGTTATCACATCTTAAAGCCTCTCACATACAGTGTTAAAGACAAACATGCAACTGTTTAGCTGTGATCTCACTGGTCCATGAAGGGCATCTTTGTAATTAGGCATAGAGTCATACAGCATGGAAACAGACCCTTTGGTCCAACTTGTCCACACCAATCAGGCATCCCAATGTGACCTAGTCCCATTTGGCAGTATTTGGCCCATATCCCTCTAAACCCTTCCTATACATATACCCATCCAAATGCCTTTTAAATGTTGTAATTGTACCTGCTTCCACCACTTCCCCCGGGCAGCTTGTTCCGTACACGCATCACCCTCTGCGTGAAAAAATTACCCTCAGGTCCTTTTTAAATCTTTCCCCTCTCACCTTAAATCTATGCCCTCTGGTTTTGGATTCCCCTACCCTAGGAAAAGGCTTTGGCTATTTACCTTCTCCATGCTCCTCATGATTTTATAAACCTCTATAAGGTCACCCTTCAGCCTTAGATAATTAGAAAATTCAAAACAATTGGGAAGAGTCAGTATTGCTTTGTGAAAGGGAGATCATGCTTAACCAATTTATTGGAGCCCTTTGAAGAAGTAAAATGCAGCGTGGATAATGGGGACCTCACTGACAAATTTGAATTTCCAGAAGATGCTTGACAATGGTGCCATATAAAAGGCTATTGAGCAAAGTAGAAGCACATGGTAAGGGTTACCATACTAACATAGATAATCATTGGCTGGCTGGTAGAGAAACAGATGTGTCTGTTTCAGACTGGCTGGATGTGATGAGTGGAGTCCTGCAGGGCTATATGCTGGGGCCTTACTTTTGGTAATTTATATCAATGACTTAGATGAGGGGATCAAAGGCATGTGGTTAAATTTGCAAATGACAAAAGCTTGGTAGGAAAATATGTGGTGAGGTTGCTGATGAATACAGTTAGGTTGAGCGAGTGAACGAACAAAAATCTGGCAAATTAAACATAATGTGGGAAAATGCAAAATTGTTCACTTTGGCAGGAAGAATAATAAAAGCAGAGCATTACCTAAACAGATAACAACTGCAGAATTCCAAGATGCAGAAAGAGCTAGGTGTTCCAATGCACAAGTCCCAAAATGTTAGCAAGCAGGTACAGCAAATAATTGAGAATAATGGAAACTATCCTTTATTACAAGAGGAACTGAACGTAAAAGTCAGGAAATTACGCTTCAATGATATAGAGCATTAGCAAGATCACATCTCAAATATTGTGCGCAGTTTTGTCCTCCTTATGTAAGAATGGATGAAAATGCATTGGAGGCCAAAAACAGTTCAGAGACAGTTTACTAGATTAGTTCCTGGAATCAGTGGGTTGTCTTATAAGGAAAGGTAGGACAGATGGGCATGTTTCCACCAGAATTTGGAAGAGAAAGGAATGACTTGATTGAAGTACACAAGAGCCTGAACTGTCTTGATAAGGTGGGCCAGGAAACGAAGTTTCCTCATGGGTGAATCCTGAACTCTTGACAAAACTGCTTTAAAGTTAAATTTAAAATTTAGGATAGGGAAAAATATTCTCCTCATCCCTAAGTGGGTTGTGCAACTTTGAAACTCTACTTCAGAACATAGTGGAGGAGTAAAAATTGAATATTTTTTAAGGCCAAGGAGATCAAAAATTAGAAGTAGATGAGAATACAGAATTTGAAACAGCTTCCTATCCACCGTGACCTTAGTAAATGGTGGAGTAGGCTCGAAGGGCTGAATGGTATACTTTTGCTCTTAATTCTTATGTTTATTGTGCCTGTAGCTAAATACTGAGCCTGTAACATTATATGTCATATAAATATTGAGTAGAATTATTCTCCCTTTATAATAGGAAAAAGTTTAATCTCAAAGCACAGTAATCCTTTTGTGGTGCATTTCTATATCAAGGCGCACTACAGTTCATATTCCCAGAAATTACAACATTAAAATGCAATTTCCATTTTTAAACAAACGATACTAAATGATATGTTCAGCAAAAATTAGGTTACAATTTTCCCCAATACAAAGCACACATTCCAAGGTATCTAATATGTCCTTTTTAGTAACTTAAATTGTATTACAGACAAACCTCAGTTACACATTTTAACTCCATAGAAAACTGATTTTTTGATAATGGTTCTTCCATTTTTAAAACTCTTTTCATAGTCAAGAGTACATTTCATTTAATTATTCTGATGTTAGACTCAAATCCAGGGAGACTATCATATTTTTTTGTTACACCAATCAGTATAATCAATAAAATCTTTATAAGCAGACGACTGATACTTTGAGGTTTAGCCTGCGCCAAGTCATGTCATTCTGTCATTCCTCCCTCCCCCTCTCCCCAACACCATTCCCTCGCCTTAGCCGTTTCCTACTCAAGCTCTGCACTATTTATACAGCTGTGTTTGTTGGCCCCAGGGAGACCTGCCAAGTGCACCCAGTGCTAAAGTTGCCTCCTGCCCATTACCACACTAAGGCACACACATTTCCATCAAGAAATGAAACAAACAGCAGTGCAGACAGTATCCAGACTGAAATTTATTCACTTGCCATCAATTTTATAAGCAATTCAGCGACACACTATTTCTTTCCTCATTTTCATACAAATATGTGGGATAGCCATGAAGCTGTTAATGTGTTTGGGGAAGTGTGTGGGTGGCTTTCTGTACGGAATTCCAATGACAGACACCCATTAAAATAAATCACAGTACATCTCCTTCTTATAACAAGGGAATAGAAATAATTCAGACCATTTATTCTCAGTCTATACTGCCTCCTTAAACCACCACTGTCCTGTCTGGACAGCAATAACTCAACTATTTATAGGTTCTTACCACGGCCTACAAATTCTGGGTTCCAATATTTTTATTATCTTTCAAGAGGCACCAAGAAAAATATTTATGTTCA